AAGGCCCTTAAGCCCCGGAAAATACTCCAGGGCTGCTGGATAAATAGCTGTGCCTGCGGTTGGACCCCAAGCTTTGCTCTCACCTGTTTGTGTGCTTATGTCTGAGAGGAGAGCAAGATGGGATATTGTGCAAATGGAAAATCACAAAAAGCATCATTACATATGCTGGAGCTGCCAGTAGGGATGGAAGCCATTTGAAATAATTACCCATGAATCCCGTAGGCTGGACATTTGCTCCCCGTGCTTGTGCAGTAGCTGTAGCATAGACAGACTGGTGTGAATTCACCGAGGAGCCTGCCAAATGTCAGGATGCCTCTGTGGCATTAAGCGCACCTCAAATATGCATCTATTCGTAACAAATGGAGCCCAACTTCTTCTAAACCTGAAGCTTCTCACAGGTCACAGAGTCCAGCCGGGGCTCCCATCTGGTCCTGTGCAGATCCCAAGGACAGCTGCTCGTGTGTCGAACGAGTACAAGACAGTACAGGTGGTCCTGGCGATTAATGCCCATGTGATTAATGGGCGTGCAGTTTTCAGACACTGGAGCAGATTCTCCATCATCTGTAAATGAGATGTTATTGTTGCTATGAAACCAGGAACGAAAGCTGGAGTCGTGGCAGTCACTTACCTCCCCGCCTGACGCTTGTCAGCCTGCTACTAATAGCCAACGGAAAAAAAAGATATGGGGCAAATCTGGTCTATTTAATTAGCACTGGGCCTAATTGAATCCAAGAAACCATAGTTGTTTGTAGACTTGTGTGCTTGTTGATGGAGCTGATGGGAATTTGAAAAGCATGGGTTATTGGATCAGACTGGCGCCAAGGGGGTGGAGGTTTGGGGGTGGCGGGTTGGGGTGGATGATAGGTCACTGAAGGGAACAGACTGCATCATCTCTGCTCCTGCGCACCTTCTGCTTTGGATCTGTCATCACCTTGCGGCTTCCTGCACCAAAACACTGCAGCGGATCCTGAAGCCTCTTGATGTGGCAGCTTCTGCAGTCAGATCTGGCATTTTTCCCCCCCCCCCCCCCCCCCCCCCCCCCGTAAAGCTAGCAGAACAGGTTGGAAACATCTGCCCTTTGAACTGAGCGAACGCTCCTTTTTTTCAGAGTGGCACTTTACAGCATAAAGACGCCTTATCCACACGCCACACGGAGCTTGGTGCGAGGCACGGACAGCCCAGTAAATACGCAGTGATTGTGTTGTTCGTTTCTACTGAAGGACACCTGGTCGTGTGCAGAATATCTGAACCTCTGAAAAAAAATCACCAAAACAAATGAAAAGAATGAAATTTTTTCCAGCATTGTGTGCTTCAATGTAAGCGACACAGAACACCGTGTAATGCTGACTGGTACTTTGAACTGATGCTGAATTGATGTTGAACAATTCATATGATTATTATTATGCTAGTAAGCGGTGCCTGCTTGTGTCTCTAAATCTGACGGATATGAAGATTCATTCCAGGCCTCACGTCAAGCAAGCTGGCTAAAGCGAGACGTGATCCGGCCTGATCCAGTTCTCCCACCAAACAAATAGCAGCTATATTCTCAGGAGTACAGCAAGCACACATCTGCTTGCATGGGTCTCGGGAATCCTAACGGAAGAGATGTTTCTCAGAAATGTGTGGAAACGAGGCCATATGGCCTCCCTGAAACAAGCAGCTAAGTAAATTTGTAGCATTTTGTGCTACATCTGTCCAGGACTCCTTTATTCTGTAAAAATAAAGCAGCTTATTACATCGGTGTATGTGGAGATATGTTACATTACACATGGTACTTATACAAAATTCCCAAAAATTACTATCTTAAGTCATAGAAATTAATATCTTAAACGGCAAGGTACAAAGTAAAGACATCATGTAATGGGCTATATTGTGGTTGATAGCCCAGCTCATTATGACGAACTGGAATCTGTGAATTATCTTTTATCCTTATGAGTTCTGGTTTATAAAAGCGGCCAAATGCTAAGTAACAGTAGCACTATAATCCCCGAATTTTGGTCTGGCCTCCTAAGTTTAGGGGTAACAAATGTACAGCAGAAAGGTCTGCAGGCACCCGGGCTGGGTAGCCTGGATCTGCAAGGTTTTATCAGGGAATCAGAAGAAAACAGTCAGCTGTCCAACGGCAGACGGCACCGTCTGTTTCTGTGCTGTCGGAAGAAAAATATAGGAAACAACGCTATAATTACCTGCTCATGTATGCTTAGACGAGGACTAATTTTCCTTTCAAACCATATTTACTGTCATCGTGCCACTCCATACTGGGCAGGAAATTGGAAAGTTAAGTGGACAGAACCTTTGTTTTACACCGACTATGATAGAATCATCCATCTTCTGACTGTTGTCCCATTTTATCGTTTCCATATGTCACTGACAATCCTGGAACCAAGGAGCCCTGAGTAAACGAGACAGAAGCTACAATTATAGTGCTTTGCCTCCTGTTTCCATAGTTGGTTAAACAAAACCGCAATTAAGCTAACGCCACGCACGTTAAATAGCCTCATGCTAATTAAGTTTCTATAACACTTTTGTAGCCTTATGCAACCAATAGAAATGTCACTATAAGGAATCGCCAATCTGCTAGATGCTTCTGAGCACAGAAGTTGTTGCTGTTATGATAGTTTCGAGACCCATGTGTAGTTAACAGGAGGGAGAGAAAAAGCTGCAAGGCTGTTTCTCACTTAAAAATGCCAGTCCTGATTTCTTGCTGTGTGTGTGTGTGCGTGTACGTCTGTGTGTGTATGTACATATTTACATAATGTTAACCTAATGAGCCATTTTTCAATGCTTTTTGGTGAAATTTTTCATCTTCCCCTGCAGGCTACCAAAGTTTAAAGTGTAGACTGTAAAGGATTATATATGATATATTTCAAACATTCAGCAGCTTCAGGGAGCTTAGGAGCTGCGCTTAGGACGTTTGTGAATGAAGGAACAGTTATTTTTCTGTTAGGCTAATTTTATTTTTAATTAAATTATTAGCAAAAACTTAATTCATGCTCTGTGTCGCAAGGTCAATGCCTACAGCACACACAGCAGTCTGACATGAATACCATTTTTTCAATTATCGGCTGGAATGGGGTAGAAAACCACATGACTGGCCATGATGCAAACCCTCTTGAGACATTCTTTATGCTTGTTGGTACCGACACTGACTGTACGCTGTTCTCTTCCAGGTCCTTTTCACGAGTTCAGAGGATTGTGGGATAGAAAGGCCAAGCCAGCCAATGAGTGACCACCATGCATTTCTCATAGGCTATAGAATCTAAAGTTTATTTGCATAAAAAGTTAACACATAGCACAATATTTGACATGTATAGCTGTGGAAAAAATTAAAAGACTAATCTATATTATTAAACAAATCGGCATTTTAAAATCCTGGTTTAATCCTGGTTCAGCTGAGCACCAGGTTGCTTCCAGGTTCAAAATTTCTAATACAGCAGTGCACAAGAATAAGGTGAAGCAGGAGACACTGGGAACGACCAAAAAAAAAGCTGAGTAAAGGTCGGAACCGACTTTCTGATGCCAGAGATGACAGGTGACTTATCCGACAGGTTCTCATGAATCAGAGGATGACATCAAGTGACCTTCAAAAAGAATGGGAAGCATTAAGTGCAGGTGTGAAGTGCACTGCTAGGACAGATTGTATCAGGCTTCTTGAAGCAGTACTTCCTTAAAGCAAGGAAGAAGCCCTTCATTAACGAGAAACAGGGGAAAAACCAGGCTTTAGTTTGCAATATGTATATATACAGTATATATATATACATTCACAGAAGTACACTCATAAATTGAGAAATGAGTGAAACAAAAACATAAGAACATAAGAACATAAGAAATTTACAAACGAGAGGAGGCCATTCGGCCCGTCAAGCTCGTTTGGGGAGAACTTAACTAATAGCTCATAGTTGTTAAAATCTTGTCTAGCTCTGATTTAAAGGAACCCATGGTTTTAGCTTCCGCTACACTAGCAGGAAGACTATTCCATACTCTAACTACACGCTGTGTAAAGAAGTGCTTCCTCAAATTTGTTTTAAAATGTTCTCCCGCTAATTTCCACTTATGGCCACGAGTTCTAGTATTTAGACTAATATTGAAATAGTCATTTGGCTGAACAGCATCCAGACCCGTTAGAATCTTATAGACCTGAAAAATTGTGCTGTGACCTCTTAATTTTTTCTCACAACTGTATATTTACAGATATTTACAAAAAAATGCTAAATAGTAAATGCATAACAATGTTACAGGATTATTAATAATCTTATGGTTTTTATTTTCAGACATGGCAAAGAAAGCCAATTAACACTACACGAAAATATTAACATTAACAACATGAAATTGGGCACATCTATACTTTTTCCTTATACACATTAGCAAAAGTCTGACAGATGTGCAAATCAATTTCCTTCCTGAAACCAAAGCTTATAAAATCTTTTTGAGTGTTTGATACTGCTTTTGTTTTTGCAGACAATCTTTGTCCAGCTCCTGCAGTCAAGACACATTGACGTTAGATACAGTCCAGGTAAGTCAATTCAAGCCTGCTGTCGCCCCAGTAATACTGCAGACAAATATTCTGCATTCTGATTATAATGCGCTGCACCAACAGGTTAGTACTGCAACTAGAACATTTCCCTTTTAAGAAATAATATCCTGCAATGTATCAAAACTTTAATTTGGGAATCTGACAATGATTTTTGCATTTTTGGCCTGTGGTGACTGTTATATGTGTTATAATTCATTGCTTGAGTCAAAATAAAGATTCATTAAAAGTCTGGGCACTTCCTACTTGCTTTAACATTTTGCTTCTCATTACAAAATTGAATATTGAGGGATGGGAGGCGAGGGGCTTACCGGCTTTAAGCTAGCTTCAGCGCGCGTGATGTGCATGAATTTGTTACTGTGGGGAAAACCTACTCCAGTGTAAGAGTTAATTCTGTGTTGTATTTGATGCCATTAAAGTCTTAAATTTAAGTCCACCCGAACCACAAAAATTCAATTCCGGATTCTGGTTTCGAAAATTTTAAATTTTATTGATTTATTATTGGTTTGGACATTGCATGAAATAATGTGTATATGATGTGCATATATTTTAAAGCATCAAACTAACACAGTACAATAAACTTGCTTTGTCAGAAAGGAAGCTTATGAGTTGTCCAGTGGGGAAGAGCTTTTTTGGCCGTGGGCGATGGAGAGTGTCATGCAGGCTTGTGCAAGCTTCTTGGAGTATGATGTAGCAGTCTGGCTCTCCACTGTGTTGCATGGGGCTGCAAAATTGTCCTCCTGGACCTTGACATGACTGTATCTTACAGCCGAAAGACAGGCCTTGGAGAAAGTTGAGAAGCTGGACTTCCAGAGGAGGTGGCTAAGCCCCTTGCGGTACTCCTTCCTCATCAAGCAGTAGATGACTGGGTTCAGGCAGCTGTTGATGTGAGCCAGACAGGTGGCCAGAGGAAAGATGTAGGTGTGAGTTAAGTAGTAGGATTTACTCAACTCCACAAGGTCCAGCTTGATCAGGACACCCCAGGAAGTGATGATGTTGTTAGGGAACCAGCAGGTGCAGAATGACAAGACCACCACCACGACTGACCGAGACACTTTGGCTTGCCGAAGGTGGTTAGCGCCAGTGAGAGGCTGTTTGCAAAGGAAACGCAGAAGGAGGATGTAGGAGAGAGCGATTACTATGTATGGGATCAGAAAACCCAGCACTACTCTCTGTAGTTGGTGAACGGCCAACCAGAAAGTGCCCTGAGGAAAGCGGAGGAGACAGGCCTGGTCCACCCCCACTGCAGATACTTCTGCAAACACGGCACTGGGGGTCGCTGACAGCAGCGCCCCCAACCAGATCAGGCTTGTCATCAGCCTCACTGTGCACATCCTCTGGCATACTGGTTTGACTGGTTTGAGGGCAGTGGCCACTGAGCAGCAGCGCGTTACACTCATGGCGGTCAGGAAGAAGACGCTGGCGTAGACATTCAGCGAGGTTAAGAATGACACCACCTTGCACATGCACCAGCCGAACGGCCAGCTGTAGTCCAGAGCTACATCTGTCGCCCAGAATGGCAAGACCATAGAAAGGAGGAGGTCAGTGACAGCCAGGTTGAAGACAAAGAAGTTGATGGTGGTCTTGCTGGTGCTCCTACTGGAGTGGAGGAGGAACAGCACCAGGGCGTTACCCACAAGGCCCATTGCACAAACGGCACAGTACACCAGGGAAATGGTGGTGCGGAGGAATGGAGAACCATCTCCAGGGAGATTCAGGTTGTCGACTTCAGTCACGTTGTGGTATATAAGCTGCATGTGATTGCAGGAGGGATCCACATAGCAGTGGTGGAAGGTCTTGTTAAACTGTATCAACCTCTGGTAGTCAGAGTCCGACATCATGAGCCGAGTCACAGTCCTGACCTACTGTAGTTGTTTTCTACTGGATATTCATCAATAGAGCACTTCTTTGATGCAGGATGGGACATTTGTAACTTGTTAGCTGGTTTGATGCAGGTCACCTGCAGTGAGCGTGAAAATGCATCATTCTGTATTACAGAAACAGAACAACAGACGTATGAGACGATCTTAGCCAAAGGCAGCATATAAACTAAAAAAAAAAAAACACAATTCTTTCCAAATCTCACAGAATGCAGGGTGAGGTTCATTATCACAGAGCATGTGCATAGCTGAGCCAAGGACATGACTTTGGGTGGACTATTGGGGAGGCTGAGGTCTCCACCCATTTAAGGAGGTCCAGGGGGTGTATTGGCTGGTTTTGATTATTGGAGGGCGTACATCGCCCCCCCCCCCCCCATAATGTACGCCCCTGCGCAAAGCACACCACAGGTTAACACCTGGAACTTGGATTATCTAATTAATACACTTTGATAACTAAAGCTGTGTATTAAGATAATTACAATCCAAATCTCAATCCAGCTGATGGTATTTAAGGATGGTGCAGCCTGTTGCATCACAGAGGGCTTGAATTCCAGCCAGCTCTGCCAAGAGCTTGCAGGTTCTTCCATGTATTACAGGTCTGCTTTACCCCCATAGTCCAAAACATAATAAAATGTAAGCGTTACACTCACTGTTAATGTACCGAATAAGCAAATCTAATACGGATGGATAGATAGATAAAAGCATTTAATGAAATAACAATATAGAGATTTCACTTCAAACAACCGTCTTTTTGGACTGTGGGAGAGAGCAGGAATACCCAGCGGAAACTCAAACAAGCAAAGGAAGAACAAGCACGCGCTGCACACCCAGACTGAATGAACTCTCAGTCCTAGTGGGGTGAAGTTTAATAATCACAGCTAAATATTAATATTACGATTGTTTGTAGGAGTTCTCTTTATGTGTTGCTTTATTGTACATATAATATAAACTTAGGCTATTATAAGTCGCTAAAAGATGACACCGATGTTTAAATGTTTCTCCTTAAATGTCATTTCATTAGACAATTTTCAGTTAATATGAACTCCAGTATAAAAGTTATCACGAATATGTGCGGATCCCAAATTAACTGGTTCCGCCGGCAGCTAGTGTAACTATGCTACAGTATAATACCCTATAGCCTAATGAAACACATCGCGATGATATAGCCTACAGTTTAATCGAAGGCCAGGAACTGCTATAGGCAACTAATAAAGTTTTGCCTGATAACTGAAGATCAGGCAATATAAATGTAATCTCAATTTAAAAATGAAAATCATCAATGTTTAAAAGTACTTAAGGTTTGTAATGAGTCAAACAACATGATACATATATAGAAAAGTCAAACGAACAATTTAAAAGCTATAGATAAAGCCTCGCTTCCTTAAACCAGAAAAGACTATCTTACCGGTAACTGATTTATAAGTTCAGAAAGGAAACACTCCCTCGGTGCGTGCGGGCTCTTCGCTGGCGCGCGAGCCGTGAGGACCGGAGGCGGCGCTGACCGAACTGCGCGGGGACGGCGAGTCCTGGACTTTTATCTGCTGTTTCCTCTGTCTCCTCCCTCATAACCCTCATGACATTCAATAACATGCACATCTTCTAGGATAATTTCACCTGAATTTGGAGTCATTTAGGTGTTTTGAGCCATTTAAAATTATTTATAACGTGATATATAATATTTAATACAGATGTAAACGTTAAAGTTAAAATCGGTTCTGTGATGGGCTTTGTTTATATACATTAAGTTATTTTTATCTCATTTCGGATCATATGTTTCTGCATTGATTTGGCTCATTTGCTGTTAAAAACAAAAAGTAGGCTGCGTAACTTGCTTATTTAACTGCAGAGCTATAGGACACATAGAACTTTATTAAAGGAACTGAGAGTATATTATAGCCCCGCGATGGAGCGGTGCACCCCAGCATTTTACCCTATACTGCCCGGGTTAGACCAGGACCAGGTGTAGCGGTCAGCAGATGGATGGATAGATGAGCATGTAAAATATAGAATGGCATAAGCAAAAAAAGCACCAAAAAGGATTCGGCACAATTTTAAATACAGCGCCCACCTCTTTAAGTTTGCCACACAAAACCAGAGAAATTACATTGTTTCATCTGAACAATAAGTGAAGAGAAATATCGAGACTTTAAACCAATTATTATTTTATGCTTTTATGATTTTATTTGGTATTTTTGAGGGTTGAATTTAGGTGGGTTATAGTTTTATTTGCGCGGGATAAGCCGCTTTGTGTAGTGATTGATTTAAGAGGAGAGAATTCAGTATTTAACAGTATAACGTCGTATAAACATTAAGGGCTTTTCAAAATGAGACATTTTACATTAAAATATATGGTTGCACAGCAAACACCTGGAATAAAAACAACGCCCCGTCAACTTTTACCAAAAAGTAAATCCCTCTTCCGAGTCCGGGCGCACGGTAATTACCGCGGTAACCTGTCTATTTAACAGGAAAGGAAACTTATCCTCAACAACTCACACCCTGGTAGGAGTGCATAAATCCAGTTCAAGTGAATAAAAAGCCAATCGTTGTATTTTTAATTACCTATAACTGTGTCTGGACCAGGTTTTTATCCGATTACACAGACAAATACATACGCATACAGACGAAGTGCAGCATCGTGCCTCTTTATTGTGGGGCTTTCTGTTAATATTGGAAAGGTCATCGGCAATGAATGGGCATGATTAGATTACAAATGGAAGGAACGGAAGGATGAGCCCGGTGGACGAGCAGAGTGATTATTGCTCAGATTAGACTTATCTGCCTTTTCAATAAAAAGAAACAAATGAGGACATTGTGGTAAAGGGAGCCACATGTTCTAGGCCTTCAGTGCATGTTGCCCATCCTGGGTTGTGTTTTACCTGATGGCATGTGATACGTCACTATGACAGTTGGGGGATCATCTACAGACATGATGGCTGCGCTTCTGTAATCGCTAATCATGCAGGGAGCCTTAATTCAAGGCAGGAACTACGGGGAATTCCCAGAATTCCTCTTAATGGCTTGCTTTGTTCCCAATTGGATTCAATTCAATTTGGTTCTTTATTATTATTATTATACACGTCAGCCCAACAAAGCTGAATTGGCAGCTCCCTGAGCTGCACAAAAAACACAAGATGAGAAGTATGTAGTATGTAGTATGTGTCACGCTGGGACGGCGCACGGGGTGTAGAAAAGGCGCAGGAAGTCAAAGTCGGGGCAAACACGGGGTTTAATAAGAGCAGCAACACAAGGAACAGGCAACACACGGGATGACATTACAATGACCGGACTGGGGAAACAAACGGAAACGCGGACTAAATACAATGAACTAATGACAACTATCGGGAACAGCTGGTAAACACGGGGAATCTACATGGGGTTAATGAGGGGGCGTGGCACACGAGAGGAGCGGACGATCGGGGCATGACAGTATGTAGTATGCTCTTTATTTGAAATTCCCTGTCTAAGCCTTTTCATTCTGTATATTTTATTTAATAGAAATCAAATAAAATAGGCTTCATTATTTTGATGATGAAATATTCCTAAAACACATCATATATCTCTGAATATCTATTGTAACAAATGACAGGGATCAACTCCGCAATAAACAAAATTCACAGCTCACAGACCAAATTAACCCCCTGCTGTAATTACAGAGGGTGATGTCACAATGCATGTGGATTCACTCAAGACCAGTAAGCTTTACCTATAACTTTGCCATTTTTAGTTATTGCATTCACTTGACAGAAAGTACAAATGGTTTTGGGACTGGTACACCACTGTCATAGATGCTAAGACCAGGGTTGGGGCCATTCCGGAAAGCATTCATCAATTCCAGTCCAAATCAGGAAATGGAACTGGAGTTGGGATTGGAAAAAAAACTATTGAAAACAGAATTGGAATTGAATTCGAATTTCAGGGAGATTTAAATTCCAACCCCAGTTCCATTTTCTGATTTGGATTGGAATTGACGAATGCATTCCAGAATTACCCCAACCCTAGCTAAGACAATAACTCAAAAACTATTTGATTGATTTTCATCATGTCATGCTTTTTGGTGAGGTGAGGGTGTAAGGTTGGCTTGTAATAAAAGTAATAAAATTTGTAAATATTAAAAATTTGTAATAAAATTTTAGTTATATTGAGGTATTTTCATTCAATGAAATCTATTGTGGGTGAACCCCCCTCCACTCGACTAAATTTATTGTTGGGGAATATAATCGTGCACATCTGGTGAACATAATTACTTTAAGACCAGTGACACAAAGTGCGACAAGGGGGCCGGATAAATGACTGGACCTTGCAGTCAGACCCCAGGGTTTGCTTTCAACTTAGAGTGTGTATCTGAAAAAGAGAGCAACATTTAACTATTCAGACTGAAGTTCAGCCATCAGCCAAGATAAAGTCACTTGTTCTCCAACATTTCTTGTTGTTTTGTAGGCTAGGAATTGGTGGACTCTACGTGAAAAAGTCAAGAGTTACAAATATTTTCATTTGTTAGTACTGTTCTTATTTACTGTAGCTGACCCTCTTTATATACTGTAATTATGCTAATTTTTTGTTCTTTTTTTTGTAAAAGGCACATAGTGCAGTCGTGCCGTTACGCCTTTTGGGAAATGTGTGGATTAGAGTTTGCACCTGTTCTGTGTGATTGCCTGTATTGAAAATAAAGGCTGTCTGGTTTTGTACCAATATGGGATGTGATTTCTCTCATATATCCAGACCGCTCAATCTAACCCCCCTAGCAAATGTTATCATTGTGGACCCGGGGAGGTGGGGGTGACCCACTTTATTTCTTAAGATCGAAAGTGACAGCATATGTGAGCACTGGTATTTTGACAGACGAAGGCGTGCGTCTCCATTCAGGCAAACGCAACGACGGCGTGAGGAAAAAAACACGAGATTCTGAAATGGCTGATTGATGTGAATTAAATCTTAGGTTGACAGGATACGCCATTTAAGGGACACTATGAGAGTGAAAACTCAAAAAGAACTATAGATGTGATTTTCCAGAGATATATCATGCATTATTATAAAGATATGGGCCCAAAGATTTATGCATATATAGCTTTTTATTATGCGCAGTACAACGAATCAGATGACCACTAAACTCCAGCTTCTGGCTTTGCAGTTACATACTCTTTAGGCAAGAACACAAAGAACCAAAACATTAAGTTTAATTACACTGAAAATCAGAGAACTTAAAATAGCAAACTGAAAGCACGAAAAAAAGAAAATTGTGTGCACACTTTAGTGATTACATGAGCTTGATTTAGTATTTCATGGTAACGTGTGCATTATTCAGTATATGATGCCCACAGGAAAATAAAATAAAAAGTGTTCATGGCCTCTCCAGGGCCCACTCTATACCAGTGTCTCCCGGTTCTGGTCCTGGAGGGTCAGTCTGCACCACAGATTGCAGACATCCCCGCTCAAACACACCTTATTCAGCTCACCTGCTAATTGCCAGGTTTAGTAGGTGTGTGTGAACAGGGAAACCGGCAAACGGGTTTGCAGACTGACCCTCCAGGACCGGAATCTGTCATACCATGGAAAATCTTCTTCACTGGTAAATGAGAAATAGAATATAAATATTTACACGTACAAAAAAAAATAAATGTTTTTTTAAGATATACACAAAGGCCGCTTAATTGGTGGCAAAGTGGCATGTGCTCTAAATAAGTAGGTGTAGCATCAGAGTTATGTCACAACTAGGACTTTGTTCAAGGAAAAAGCACATTTTTTGCTTTTCACATTCTCAGGGACACTCTACCCTGGACTACTACAGGTTGGCGAGTGTGTGAGGAGAATAGATTAGGTGGGCAGAGCCGAATACGGGGCTGTCCGGGGAATACAGTGCTGTCGATCCGACAGCCCCCATTTCTAGGCTTTTTTAAGTAGCAAATTGACGTTATAATCTTAAATGTTCTTATTTTGCAGCATTTTCGAGGCACTACCCTAAAGCACATTTACCCTAAAGCACATTTACCCTACAGGAACATGGTTGAGAACATTCAACCACATATTAAATCCAGATCATATCTAGTACCCTGGAGCTGTGTAGTTATAATGCTAGCCAATAACCACTGTACCGCCCTGAACAAAACCACACATTAAGATATACAAAGCAAATCATTCTTTATTTCAGCTTGAGTGCGACAATTCCCGCATATACCAAGTACATTTTTAATAAAGCGGCAGTACAAACAGTTAAAACACATTTAACATAAATTTGATTCACAAAAAGCAAAATAAGATTACTCTGTTATTAAAACATAAGGCACTTGTTAATCCAGCCCAATACACACAAATCTTGTGAAAGGCATTGCATGTAATACTTTTTTATGCTATAACAAATAGAACATCTTGCTGATCCCCCCATACTAAAGTTATAGACTGCTTTCAGTTTTACTGCATACAGTCTTACTTTGAGTACTTTGAGTACAAGTTTTTTTTGGCTACTTAACGATTGTTTAGCTTTACCATCAATTAAAGCAAGACG